TATGAGGAAGACAAAACCCTTGCTTTCAGGCATGTTGTTTTATTTGTGATTGAAAATGTTGGATCATTCAATATTAATTCAAACTTTCCCCCACAATCCTCCCATGAGGCCTTTCGTGATTGTCTGTGGCCTGAATCACACACAGGTTGTTGGTCAAGAGCCAGCCTTCTTCCACAGAATGTCAACATTGCAGTATAGTCACAAAAGCAGAAATGTTGGAGTCTTAACGAACCTGGATTCAAATTCTGGCACAGCAGTTTCCCTGCTGTGTGACCTTGGGAAAGTTGCCCAGCCTCTCTGATCCTCATCTGTACAATGAGAACCATAGTATTTATCCCACAAAGGGGCTGTGGACTAAAAAAAACAATCGATGACAGTTTGCCTAGGCAGGTCTTCCTAACAACTAGTAGAAACAGAATAATATCGTCGTTTTCCTGTCTTCCCTTTTCTGACTCCTCAGTGACCAGGAAAGTCGCCAGGCTCTGCTTTTCAGGATCTGCCCCAGGAGTCCTTTGGCATCTTCCATCCATCACTGAAAGGTGTGGTACTTGGTCGGAACTGATGCCGTTTCAGAGCTGACCCATCTGCCTCACTCCTAGCCCCCAGCATCTCTCTTGTGCCTGTGAGTCCCTGTCCGTAGCTGGCTGGCTCTCGCCCTCTCTCCACTCCTCCTCTCTATCCCACCTGTCGATGTTGTGGTCAGTTATTTTTGAGTTGGGTCCATGTCGTGGAGACCTCGTGTGTAACAGAACAAAGCACCCACTGCCCAGGCCTGCACCATCTTCATGTTCAGGTCCGTTTTTGCAGCCATCTCATCAACCCATCTCAGTGAGAGTTTAAGTCTTGGAAGAAATACAAGCAGAATTCTTAGAACATTAGGGTGTGGCTAAAGAGGCAAGGAGGCCACATCTCCTGACCTCCTGTAACCCCACAAGAGGAAGACAGAATCACCATCAGTAGCCGAAGGCCTATCCCTGCAAGGCCAGACATGCTGCCTCCCTCTAGCCCTTTCACCAACCCTGACACCAACCGTTCCTCCCGCAGCACTCACCACCTTTCTGCTGGGTTTGATAATTCACTGCAGTGGCCACACAGAACTCACAGATGATGGGGTTTATTAGGGAAGCACCAGGCTACAATTGAAGTTCTGGGAAAACACTCAATCTCTCTCAGCTCACTGCTCTCAGCCAACAGTCTCTCTCAGCCACTGTCCCAGCAATGCCTGTCTCTCGGTGTCTCTCTCAGCAACGCGTCTCTCGTATCTCTTTCCCAGCAGCATGTGTCTCTCAGGAGCATGTGTCTCTCAGGAGTGCGTTTCTTCTCAGCAGCACATCCTCCTCAGCCAGCAGTCAGAGAGACTCCTTCTGCCTCTAGGAGGCCTCCTTTTGAGCCTGGCGGAGTGGCCAAACCAACCAATCATAACATCAGAATTCTAAACACCTGAGAGAGAGCAAACATCCCAGAACATTGCTTTGTGCCCCTCCCAACAGAAGTACCCCAGGTGGATAACTTTTACAACCAGGAGCTCCTCAGTTGCTCACAGCAAATTCCATCACAGAGTTTACAAAGACTTAGGCTAGAAAAGCCACACCAGGTAATTTACTGCGCCACAGGTGGGGACGCTTCGTCCACTTGCTTTGGACACGCCATCAGGAAGGACTGGTCACTGGAAAAGGACATTGTCTGGTAACGTAGTTGTTGTTTTTGTTGGGGCCCACTGAGTTGGTTCTGACTCCTAGCAGCTCCGTGTACAACATAACGGAATGCCACCTGGCCCTGGACCCGCCCCACAATGCAGCACGCCTGGGGGACATTGCGGGTTCAGTTCCAGACCACCACAAGAAAGCAAATAGCAGAACAAAGTGAGTCGTATGAACTTTTTGGTTTCCAGGGCTTATGAAAGTTATGTTGGCATTATACTGAGGTCTGTCAGGTATGCAATAGCGTGATGAAGAAGTTTGAAATATTGAGAATGGCCAGATGTGACACAAAGACATGAATTGAATACGTGCTGTCAGGGAAATGGCACCAAAAGACGGCTCCACGTAGGGTTGCCACAAATCTCTGATTTAAAAAAAAAAAACCCACAGTGTCTGCAAAACAAAGCTCAATAGAGTGAAACAAAATGAAGCAAGGTATGCCGGCAGCAGGGGTGTTGGAGCCCCTTGGTGCAGCCACTGTGTCCGTGTCAGTCCATCTCATGGAGGGTCTTCTTCTTTTTACTCACCCTCTACCAAGAGCACTGAAGTACCTTAGGCTGCTACAAGAATGAACACGTCTGTCCTGGAGGAAGTGCACTGGACTGCTTCTGTGAGAATGGCCAGACTTCACTCGTCTCACCTGCTTTGGTCATGTTGTCAGAAGGGACCAGTCCCTGGAGAAGAACATCATGCATGGTAACATAGAGGGTCAGCAGAAAAGGGGAAGACCCTCAACGAGATGGACTGACACAGTGGCTGCAATGATGGGCTCCGGTATAACCAGCATTGTGAGGAGGGCCCGGGACCGGGGGTGGGGGTTTCTTTGTGTTGTACGTGGGGCCGCTATGAGTCGGAGCTGACTCTGCGACACCCAGCAACGACTCCTACTACGTGACCAGGCAAGTAGAGGGTCCGCAAAACGAAGCAAACTGCCCCACCTATTGGAGCGCTGGTGGTGTAGTGCCTAAGGCATCTGACTGCTAACCAGAAGGCTGCCGGTTCAAACCCACCAGCCACTCCTCGGAAGGAAGGTTGGGCAATCTACTTCCGTAGTGATACTGCCTCGGAAACCCCACCCATTAGTTCCTGTTTACTCTCAGTCTTGGCTTCCTGGGACCTGCAGCTCCAAGTGGCCCTGCCCAGGCCTGGCCATCCCTCCCACCGCCAGTGCTCCCTGGCTCTTCTCCCAAGAGTTCCACTCCCAAATTCCCAAGAATTCAGATTGCTCCATGCAATTGTAAGGGCCAACACACTTTCTGGAGAGAAGAAGGGAGGGCTGTGTTCTTGTTTGGGGACAGATTGTTAATGTTCACATTTTCACTTTCCCACCTTGCTGGAAAGGAAGCAACACCAGCCCTGGTTCAGAGCTGTTTTCGTCAGAATGAGCACCTCTGTTTTAGGCAGGTCTTCTTGGAATCAGTCTTGGCCACTAACCCTGAGTTCTGGCCAAGAAAGATATAAACACTTGAGTGTTAAAAAAAAAAAAAAAAAAAAAGTCATTAATACGTTCCATGACCTTCAGCTCTCTTCTGATGGAATAAACTAGGAATTCTCTTTTCATGCCAGGATCAAACAGAAGAAAATGAAAGCTGATTTCTTTGTGCCTAAAAATAAGCATAGTGTTATATTTTAACTGGACTTAATGTTCAAAGGCCTATATTAGGTTACATAATTAACTCAGAAGCCTTCACTGATAGCCAAAGCAATTATGGGAAATCAAGAAAGAATTTAAGTATGTTTCCTAACCCCATGGCTTTGTAGAGTTCTGCAAGCTGTTTCTGTGTCTGTGGGTTGTGTGTGAGCACTTTGCATGTTTCTTTCACTCTCTGAATCTCAGTTTCCTATTCTATGTAATGCAAAAATTAACTACCTCCCCCGCCAAAAAAAAAAAAAAAAAAAACTAAGCCCACTGCTACTGAGTCGATTCCAACTCATAGCAACCCTCTAGGATTGACTAGAACTGCCCCCATAGGGTTTCCAAAGCTGTCAGTCTTTATGCAAGCAGACTGCCTCATCTTTTTCCCGCAGAGTGGTTGGTGGGTTTGAACCACCAACCTTTTGGTTAGTAGTCAAATGCTTTAACCACTATACCACCTGAGCCCCTAACCACCTCACAGGTTGTATAAGGATGAGTTGAGATCATGTGTGTGCTTTTCTCTAGTTTGACACTATTATGGCAAGCCAAGTAAGAGGAGCTCACATTTCTCAGTCACCAAATATGCACCGGAAGGAGATCAGTGACGTGTAAGGGGCTGGAGGTGCTGACTGAAAATAGTACACATTTATTGTGAATTCACCGCAAGTGTCTTTCATTCAAGAATCAACAAGGCTTGGAGTCACAGTTGCCCTCTGTGTTCTAGGAATATGATGAAGCTTGTAGGGGTTGGCCTAGGAACTCAGACACCTTTTATAAGATTATTCCTTTGTGAAAATGTAGAACACGTTTCAAACAGTGACGTGATTGGTTTTATATATATACCTATAATCACAAACCGTCTATAAGTGGAGACCACCTGAATTTAGAAACTTGATGACTCCCTCCTCCTGGTTTTCATGTAGATGTTTCCTGGTGATTGTCACAGCTGGGAGGGGGCGTGCTCCTAGCCTCTAGGGGGTGGAGGCCAAGGGAAGTCGCCCTACATCCTACACAGCACAGGAAGGCCCCCCAGAATGACCTGGCCCCCGGTGTCAGGAGTGCCAAGGTCGAGCAGCCCAGCATGCACCCACAGACATGTGGACGTGAATGAACTGCTTTGTGAGGTTTAGATGCTTTCCATAATCTGATATTTCGCATCTTAATACCATGGGCATCTTTCCACATCTATAAATATTTGCAATTTCTACCTCAAAACTTTTGTGGGATGCTTCATATGCCATTTCCCGTGAGCACTTTATCGATTTTATTTAATCTCCAGTGTTGGACCGTCTGTTGATTTCTCCTTGTTGTTGTTGTTACAGACAGTACTGTGATAAATAATTTTTACTTCTGTGCTCTGATCCATTATTAGAATGAATCCTAAAAAGTTGAAACTGCTCAGTTAAAGGCCTTGAAAGCTGGCACCAGCTTATACTCACACCAGCTGGCCATGATCATGTCTGCTTACCGGCAACTTCCCTGACACTGAGGTTTCCCATTTATGAAACCTTCCTTGTCCCTGTCCCTGGGGTGCCCAGGCCCAGACTCCGTGCTCTGTGTGGGGTCTAGTTGGGGTGGGATTGAGGCCCTGGCACACGTGTGCTGGGGACACCAGGCGTCTTATCCACATGACCAGGGGTTCTTACTGCCTTTGTTTCCTGCAGGGTCCAGACGCATCAGTCAGGCCTCAGCCAGAGTCGATGTGGAGTTTGATTATGATGGGCCTCTGATGAAGACGGAAGTCCCAGGGCCTCGGTCTCGCGTGAGTTGACCACACCTGAGGCGAGAACACGGATGAGCTTAGGGACCGGTGATAACAGTGGTGATCTGGGAGGTTAGCCTGCTCTAGGCTCTCTAGTGCGCAGACACCTTCGATAGGGACTTCACCTCTCAGAGCCTGTTTCCTTAGCTGCAGAATGGGCACAGGATTGTTGAAAGGCTGAGGTGATGAGCAGTGACCTATGCATGTGCAGTGTCACGTTAGATACCAAATGGGGCTCCAGAGGTAGGGTTTCCCATTCTTAGGACATCTTCTAGGAGCTCTGGTAGCATAGTGCCTAAGGCACTTGACTGCTCACCAGAAGGCTGGCGGTTCAAACCCACCAGCCACTCCTCGGAAGGAAGGTTGGGCATTCCTACTTCTGTAGTGATACTGCCTCAGAAACCCAAGGAGGGATTGCTATGAGTCAGGGCCGACTCGACGGCAAACAACAACAGGACATCTTCTAGGCAGACTGACTGCTTAATCAGTACTCAAATCAGTCTTTTTATAAAAGATCCAAAAATAGCATGTTGTTGTTGTTATTGTGCTGTGGAGTCAATTCCAACTCATAGAGACCCCGTGTCCAACAGAACAGAACACGGCCCGGCCCCGGGCCAGCCTCACAGTCCTTGCCGCACTTGGGCCCATCGTTGCAGCCACTGTGTCGGTCCATCTCATTGAGGGTCCCTTTCTTGCTGACCCTCCAAACAAGCATGGTATCCTTCTCCAGGGACTGGTCGCTTCTGATAACATGACCAAAGTAGATGAAACAAAGCCTGGCCATTCTCACTTCTAAGGAGCATTCTAGCGGTACTTCTTCCAGGACAGATATATTTGTTCTTCTGGCAGTCCATGGTATTTTCAGTGTTCGCCAATACACAACTGAAAAGCATCAATTTTTCTTCGGTCTTCCTTATTAAAAATAACAAGCATACACTCTTTGTTGATTTCGGGTTATGCTTGGTTTGCCCTTTTTCATTGAACCACAGTTATTTTCCTCTATTTTGAAAGCACTTCGTAGCATTTGTCTCTCTTTGTCTCTGTTATGGGAATAGCCAGAGATGGGAAACAAGTCTGATCTGCCATTCACCCCCGCAGTACTGAGGCATCAGCAGTGACGTCAGGAGCACTGCGCTGAGAAAGAGTCAGAGGGTGCACCTGGCTCTGCAGAAAAGAATTCCGTGACCTGTTGGCACCGTGCGCCATGGACGCAGGACAGAAAGATGCCTATGCAGTCTTTGTATTTGCTATCCCTGGATAACCAAAGGAGGCAGGCGATTGGTGAAGTCTTCAGGCCAGCTTTCTCCGTGTTCTCTGCCACACCTCCTAACACGATCTCTTCCTGACGGGGCCACTGTTGCCAGTTCCCTAACATCTCCATCCCTACACTCAGGCCATCCTGGGGCATAGCTGACGAGGTGGAGGGCAAAGTGACTCACAGTCTATTATTGTGAGAAGAGAGAAATGGGCTGTTTCTGTCAAGTGGGCAGAGCTGGGATGTGACGTGAGCAGTGAGGTGGTGGCAGAAGTGAACGGCTGACTCATTCTGCCATGAGAAGTTACAGACGACTCCCAGGGGAGGTGTGCCAGCTATCTGTGCCACAGCAATGCCGAGTACACACACCACAGCCTCAGCCGCTGGCTGCATTGGTGTTCATTGGTCACCCACCTGGGGTTAACTGCAGGTCGGGTAGGCAGCTCCGCTGGGTTCCCCCGCAGGCCTGGGGGTCTGGCTGGCTGTCAGCTGACCTGGGCGAGGATTGTCTGGGGTGACTCGGGCGACTTCCATGTGTCTCTCACCCTCCACCAAGCTAGCGGGGCTTATTGTCATGGCAATGGCAGTGGTACAGAAAGCAAGGAGAAAGCCAGGGCTCCACACTAGTCCGAGTGACTTCCACCTCATTCTGTTGGTCAAAGCAAGTCCCAAGACTGAGGCCAGAGTCAAGGGGTGGCACAGACGTCCCACCACCCACAGTGGGAGAACACAGCTAACAGTGCGTGGCCAATGGCATGGATTCAGGGCGGAGGAAGAATTGGGGCCATTTCCGCAATCCTCTCTGGGAAGTGACAAAAAAGAAGAAAGGAATTTTAAAACAATACCATTGACAGTAGGCTCAGAAATACAAAATACTCTTGAGCTTGAGCTTGAAGGCTCAGAAGGAGGAATTTGACGAAGAAGAGCGTTGGTTCTAAGCAAAGGGAGCCACAGTGTGTGTGCAGAGGCGTGCGGGTGACCATCGCTGGCATACATGAGAGGCACTCGGCAGCGCGGAGTCCCTGGGTGGGTGCTAGTGTATGAAACAGAAGAAACACAAGACGAGGCTAGTGAGGGAGGCGGGACCAGGTTATGAAGGGCCTTTGCCCCTGGACGTGGGGAGGCATGGATGATTTTTAAGCTACTTTGGCAAGAGTGAAGAGCTCTGGTGGCACAGCGGTTAAGGCATTGAGCTGCTAACCAGAAGGTCAGCAGTTCAAACCCTCCAACTGCTATACAGGAGAGAGATGTGACAGTCTGCTTCCATAAAGGTTTATAGCCTTGGGAACCCTGTGGAGCAGTTCCACCCTGTCCTCTAAGGGGGGTTGTGAGTTGGAATGGACTCCACGGCAGTGGGTATGGTTTGGGCTTTGCTTCTGTGAAGATTGACAGCCTGGGAAACGCTGTGAGGCAGTTCCACTCTGTCCTCTAGGGGCGCTTATAGTCTGGTTTTAGCAAGAGTGTGTCCTATACTATGACACTTTTGTTCTTGTCACTTGCAGGAATTAATGAAACAACTGAATATGATTCAGGTAAGTGGGGATGGGGCTATTCCTTCCATCACTTCTCTGTTGCAGTTTAGCTGAGAGACAGATGCTTCAACTATTGTGCCCCTGTTTAAATTTTTTTTTTAATTATGGTTGAATTTTGTTCTAAACCCTTTCTTCTCTAAATTCCTTTGTGATTTCTGCTTTGACCCATTGGTTGTTTAATGAGTGCTGATTTCCACATCTTTGTGAATTTCCCAAATGTCTTTATAGTATTGACTTCTAAAAGTATATTAATTTCTGAGAATGTACCTTTTCAATTTATTGAGGCTTTTTTATAGCCTAGAATATGGTTTGTCTGGGAGAATGTTCTGTACACACTTGAGATACTTGTACGTGTTATGATCTGTGTTCTGTAGAAGTCTGTTGGGGCCTGTTGACTTACAGTGTTGTTCAAGTTGTCTGTTTCCTTATTGGTCTTCTGCCTCATTGTCCTAGATTATTGAAAGCAAGGTAATGAAGTCTCCAGCTATTATTGTTGAATTGTCTATTTCTCCTTCAACTCTGTTCATTTGTGCTTCGTGTATTTTGGGGGCTCTGTTGTTAGGTGCATGTATGTTTACAATTATATCTTCTTTGTGGGTTAAACCTTCATCATTATAAAATGTCTTTCTTTATTTCTTGTTTCCCTTTATGTTTTTATAGTCCATTTTGTCTGATAATAGCATAGCCATCCCAGCTTTCCTGTGATTGCTACTTGCAATCATATTTTTCCCTCCAATTACTTTCTGTGATTTTGAATCTAGAGTGTGTCCCTGTGATCAGCATTTAATTGGGTCTTGTGTGGTGTGTCAGTCTGATGTTCCCTGCCTTTCGAATGAATTGCTTGCTACATTGGCATTTCATGTTATGGATGTTGTTGTGTTTACACCTGCCATTTTATATGTCTGTCTTGTTGTTGTTTGTTCCTTTGGTTTTGTTCCTTCTTTACACTTTTCTTTTGCATTAAGCAAATATTTACTAGTGTAACAATTCTTTCCATGATTATATTGCTGTCTTTTTTGAGTTGTTTTCTTAGCAGGTGCTGTTGGGCTTTCAATATACATCTTAACTATCAGAATCTACTTCAGATTTATATCTAAGCATTTTTTTATTGATATATAGTACAACTACAGAAAAATTCATAAAATACAAATGCACAGCTTAATGAACTGTTAGAAAACAAATCACCATGTACTTACTGCCAGGGCGAGAAATACAACTTTGCCAGCACCCCAGATACCTTCCATGTGTCTGTGGAAAGGGCAGGACACAGCTTATTCCACCAACTCCTGAAAGACTGGGGCTCTGGGAAGCTGCAGCAAACCTAAGCCAGTCTCTCGTTTCCCCAAGAATGCAGAAGCTGTGCATTTTTTCTGCAACTATGAAGAAAGCCGAGGGAACTACCTGGTCGATGTGGACGGCAACCGGATGCTGGATCTTTACTCCCAGATCTCCTCCGTCCCCATAGGTGAGAGCCAGGAGGTCGGTCCTCGGGTTGCCTCTGCTCTGCCTCTCAGTCGTGGCTGTCCAGGCTTCCCACTCCTCCCAGCAGGCACGTGCCGTGTTCGGGGTTTCTCGTCACCACCCACTTCCCACAAGGGCGGGAAAAAGGAATAAGTAGTATGTAGAGGGCCTGCTGTGTGACAGGCACCTTCCATGTCTTTCCTCATTTGCTCCTTCCCAGAGCCCTACAAGGTAAGTAGGCATTAATATCTTCATTGTGCAGTTGAGGTAGGCAAAGCAGGGGGAGGCTGAGTCGCGTAAAGAGGAAACGTAGCTGCAGCCAGTCCCGCGAGACACTTTCCACGCGACCACAGTCCACGGGACTGGCTCCCTGGAGGCAGGGGCTGAGCCAGGGCTCTTGTGCAGGTGAATAACTCTGCTCGGCTGTTCACCAAAGGCTGGGGGTTTGAGCCGCCAGAGGTGCCTCGGGAGAAAGGGCTGCCAGTGTGCTCCGGAGAAGCAGCTGTTGCAAGCCCTGTGGGGCTCAGAGACACGTGGGGCGCCCTGGGTTGGAGTCAAATCGGCAGCTGCTGTTTTTCTCAGGAGGAAGGGGAGTGGGAGCTAAGAAAGAAGGTGTCAGCTACAGACTAGCCTCAGTCTGGTCCCGGGGGGTCAGGTTCTGGCGCATGAGCTGCACCCCAGGGTTAGTCCCGGACTGAAGCAGAGGGCCGGCCCTGCTGTACCCCTGCGTCAATCTGTCGTTGTCTGCCAGTTGCCAGTTGCCAGGTGAGAGTACACGTGTAATGGCAGGCAGCGCAGCTTCCATTAGCCCAGAGCAGTTTCCCAGAGAAGGCAGCCGGAGCCTTCCTCAGCCAGCACCCAGCCCTGAGGGAGGGGTGCACCTGCCTGGGGAGGGGGTGCTGTGGGGTGTCCACAGCACGTGCCGCTCGGCTCACCCAGAGATTCAGAGCGAGGGGTGCACCTGCCTGGGGAGGGGGTGCTGTGGGGTGTCCACGACACATGTCGCTCGGCTCACCCAGAGATTCAGAGCGAGGGGTGCACCTGCCTGGGGAGGGGGTGCTGTGGGGTGTCCACGACACATGCCGCTCGGCTC